CTGCCCGGCTGTGTCGGCGTCGTTGGGGTGAACATCGGCCACTTTGCCTCCAGGGAACACGCCACGGAAAGTCTGTACCTTCACCGTCACGGTCCTCGGCGTGGAAGCCCAGTCATTCTTGTCAAGGACGATGATGGTGACAGGATATTCGGATTTCATCTTGGGTTTGCCACTGTCCTCGACCTCGATGAGGAATTTGAGCTCCTTCGTGGTCTCTCGATCAATGTTGCGCGTTGTCTTGACCTCGCCTGTGGTCTGGTCCACGGTGAAGAACTCAGGGTGTTCACCGCCGACGATGTAATAAGTGAATGGGTGGGTGTTGGGAGCCAGATCTGGGTCGGTTGCACTTAGGGTCATCACAGAGGTCATGGCAGGCTCGTGCTCAGACACGTAACCTACGATGTCTGGAGGATCGAACTGAGGTCCATTATCGTTCACATCATCGAGAATGACCCGCACGAGGGTCGTGCCGGTCTGAGGAGGCGTGCCATTGTCAATGGCCCCGACCGTCAGGTTATAGACCTGAATAGTTTCTCGGTCCAGCTGCGCTGTAGTCTCAATCACGCCGCTCTGAGGATCCACCTTGAACACCTGGCCCAGGTTGCCTCCGATGATGGAGTAAGTGAACTGATTGTTTTTCGGACGGACGTCGGAATCCACAGCCGTGACATTGACGACTAGCGTACCGACAAGCGCTCCCTCAGAGAGCCTAGTTTCATACAGTGGCTGAGAGAACACTGGGGGATCGTTACCATCCTGAATGGCAATGATAATCTGCGCTTCGTCAGTGTCGTTGCCGCGGATGCTGCCGGCGTTCTTCGCCATGACAGTCAGAACCACTCTGTTCTGACTCTCACGGTCGAGGCTGCGGGCTACCGTGATGACGCCGGTGGTCGGCTGGATGAGGAACCCGCGGTCGTTGCTCGCGCCCACCAGTAGGTAGTATACGAGACCGTCCTCGCCCTTGTCCTCGTCTGTGGCCTGGATGGCGCCGACAGACGTTCCGATTCTCGCTGATTCTGAGACGGTGAACTGGAAGACCGGCTGGATGAAGCGCGGGAAGAATTCGTTTCGGCCAGTGACGTGGATCACCACCTCGGCCGAGCCCCACTGAGACTTGTCGGGGTTGTTGGCAGCCCTTACATCCAGCACGTAGCTACTCTTCTCCTCGTAGTCGAACACTCTCCGTGACGTGATCACTCCCGTCTCGGGGTCTACTGCGAAGAACTCCTTGCCGTCGCCGCCCACCAACGTGTACTCAATGACAGCATTGCGGGCGGAGTCGATGTCGGTAGCGTTGAGCTTGAACACAGTAGTCCCAGCTGCAGCGTTCTCAGCGATGTAAGCATCGTATTGCTTTTCGCTGAACCTTGGCGGGTTGTCATTGATGTCTGTAAGTATGACAGTAAGCACAGCTGTGGACTGGAGGGGTTCGAACGCGAGGTCGTGAGCTGTGATATTGAGCCGATACTCTTGCACGGCGTCGTAATCCAGCGGGTGCGTGATAGTCACATCCCCGCTGCTCTCGTCGATCGCAAACTTGCCAGCCTCATTGCCGCTCGTGATGGAGTAACGCACGAGGCCGTTGGGGCCCTTGTCGCTGTCCGTCGCCGTCAGCGTGCCTATGGTCGATCCGAGGGGCTCGTTCTCGGGGACAATCACCTGGTAACTAACGGCTGTGAACTCCGGCGTGTGCTTGTTCTCTCCTGTCACCACCAGTGTCACCAGAACGTTGTCGCTCTCCGGAGGAACGCCGCGGTCCACAGCTTGGATGAGCAGCATGAACTGGGCGTCGACGCGGTCCTGGAGGCTCCTGGCCACCGTGATCCAGCCCGTGTTCGGCTCCAGCATGAAGTAGTCGGTGCCGTTACCGCCCACCTTCTGATACTCGATCTCGGCGTTGATGCCGAAGTCGCGGTTATCGACGGCCATGATCTGGATGATGGACATGCCGACGGTGGAGCTTTCGGGAACGGGCGTGAAGTAGTGGTCTTGGGAGAAAATGGGAGCGTTGTTGTTGGCGTCCACCACGTTGATGACGACGGAGCTCTCCGACGACATGGGCGGCTTCCCGTTGTCGGTAGCAACTACTACCAGTTGATACTGGTTCTCCGGCGACGGCCCCTTCAGAGTGTGCTTGTACTGGAGCGCTTGCTTCGACAGTATTTCGCCGCTAGAGGGATCCACGCTGAAGAAATCCGACGGGAATTTTAGCGAGTATGATATAACGCTGTTCGGCCCTTGCTTGTCCCGATCCGTTGCTGTGACTTGCCCGACGAACGCCACGCTGCGCTGCAACTCCGGGAAGTTGAATACATAATGGCTCTGTTCGAACTCTGGGGCGTTGTCGTTCTCATCCTGCACGGTGATGGTGAGGGGCGTCTCGGCGCGCCACGAGCCGTCCACGGCAGATACCTTCAGGAGGTACTCATCATTGAGTTCGCGGTCAATGGCGCTGGCTACGGTCACATTCCCGCTCACTGGATCGATGTAGAATTTTCCTCCGGGGTTCTCCGTGAAGCTGTAGGTCGCGTTGGCGTTCTGGCCGATGTCGCGGTCACTGGAGGTCACCTGGATGACGAACGTTCCGACTTCGGCGTTCTCCGTGACGTTGACGCTGAACAGCCTCGTGAACCTCGGAGGGTTGTCGTTCTTGTCCTGCACCGTAACCACCACCATGGCCGTGCCTGTCTGCGCCGGCGTGCCCTTGTCCACCGCCTCCACCGTCAGTGTGTACACCTCCACTTCCTCGCGGTCCAGCTGGATCTTGGTGTAGATCTGACCCGTCTCCGCGTCGAGCGTGAAGGCCTCCGCCGCGGGCGAGTCCTGTCTCAGCTGGTAGATGACGTTGGCGTTGGTGCCGGAGTCGCGGTCCGTGGCGCTGACGGTGGCTACCAGCTGCGGCGGGTACTGCGCCTCCTGGATGCTGGCATTGTACACCGCCTGCGAGAACACAGGAGCGTTGTCGTTGAAATCGGTCACATTGACGACCAGGTGCGTGACGGAGGTGAGAGGCGGGTCGTCGGCGTCCTTCGCCGCGACCCACACCTCGTACCTCGGCGCCGTCTCGTAATCCAATCCGAACTGCGAGATTCGCAATTCGCCCGTCTTCTTGTCCACCGTGAAGGCCTGGCCGACGTTCCCGCCGGCGATGCTGAAGGTGACAGCGCCAGTGGGTCCGGCCTTCGGCGACGTGGCGGTCAGGGTCGTGACGAGGTCTCCTCGCGCAGCCTCGCTGAAGCTGAAGGTCTTCTCGAGCGGCTGGAACTCAGGGAACATGTTGTTGGGCTGCAGCTGCACCACCAGCCGGGCCGTGGCGGATAGGGGCGTCTCGCCAGAGTCCGTCGCCAGGACCTCGAGCTCGTAGGTCGTGTCTCCCACGAGCCCCGTCGAGGCCTTGATCACGCCCGTCTCCTGGTTCATGTAGAACTTGTCGGCATCGTTGCCCGACAGGTAGTACGTGACCCGCCCGTTGACGCCTTCGTCAGGATCCCTCGCCTCGCCTCCGAACACGAAGTCGCCTGCAACAAACACATGAAACGCGATTAGCTCCAGTAAATAATTTCCTATCAATGTGTCATTTTCACCCGTGTTGCCCAATTATACAAACGACCCATTAAAGTAAATTGATAAATATGGGACCACACCCTCCTCTTGCAACGCATGCAGTTGATATGAACTGATCACATTGATAGATATGGATGAAATAACATTACTGACGTGATGACACTATACATTCAGATGATTAATAAATAAGGTAAACAGCAGACTCGGAAACATGCACAGTCATTATTAATAAATATAGATGAAATACAGCAATTAACATGAGAAAATAAAAATAAAAATCATCAATAAATAAGATAAAGAGTACACTCGGGGGCATGGCATAAGTCGGCAGAAAGAAGTTACACAAAAGGAATAGAATACAGAAGAGTTGCATTACACGAGCGAAGACTGAAAGCGGGAGAGCGAGGCCCACCTCAGGCGAGACACGGAGGGGGGGGGGGTACTGACCTGGGGCGGTGGGGTCGGGGACGTGGATGAGGTACTGCTCCTGCGAGAAGGCCGGCGCGTTGTCATTCTCGTCTGTCACTGTCACTGTCACCTGCGAATAACATACATATAAGCGTTATCAACAAGACACATCAAAGTAACTTTATTTTGATGATACAAATAATTAGATTTCATTATTGTTCAACATTTATTTTTATTCCATAGCACTATCAGCTGAGATAAGCGCATTGTCTTAACCACGCAAATCTCCCACTTTGGAGACTCGGTTCCAGCGGCCAATTACCCGCACCCGTGCCTTCGTTCGGCCGCGATGTCAAAACACGTCGTAAAAGGCTCGAACTCTCACCTGTGTGGTGGCGGAGCGCGGCTCGGTGAGCGAGGAGTCGTGGGCCTGGAGGATCAGGGAATACTGTGCCACTCGCTCGCGGTCCAGGTGGGCCACCGTGCGGATGATGCCGGTCCACTCCTCGACCATGAACACGCCGGAAGCGCCCTCGAGCAGCGAGTACCTGCAGAAGCGACAGAACGCGCGGGCGTGGATGAGGTACTGCTCCTGCGAGAAGGCCGGCGCGTTGTCGTTCTCGTCTGTCACTGTCACTGTCACCTGCGAATAACATACATATAAGCGTTATCAACAAGACACATCAAAGTAACTTTATTTTGATGATACAAATAATTAGATTTCATTATTGTTCAACATTTATTTTCATTCCATAGCACTATCAGCTGAGATAAGCGCATTGTCTTAACCACGCAAATCTCCCACTTTGGAGACTCGGTTCCCAGCGGCCAATTACCCGCACCCGTGCCTTCGTTCGGCCGCGATGTCAAAACACGTCGTAAAAGGCTCGAACTCTCACCTGTGTGGTGGCGGAGCGCGGCTCGGTGAGCGAGGAGTCGTGGGCCTGGAGGATCAGGGAATACTGTGCCACTCGCTCGCGGTCCAGGTGGGCCACCGTGCGGATGATGCCGGTCCACTCCTCGACCATGAACACGCCGGAAGCGCCCTCGAGCAGCGAGTACCTGCAGAAGCGACAGAACGCGCGGGTTAGCGAGCATTATAGGGCAGCGTTCCGTCGACAACAGGGATGAGTTATATTTACAGAACGTGTAATGTGTACCCATCTATCTCAGACGGATTCTTCTCCTGTAGGCATGGCATTAAGTCAAGTAGTACAATATAAGGAACAATAGAGCGTCACATCCTCCTTCATAAAGAACCGAATGTAATGGAAATAATTATAATAATGATAGTAATAAGACCACATTCTTGCCAGGGTCTGTTGGGGATCACAGAGACAAGTGAAACACAATTATATCTTACTCGGGACTCGAGGGTCGGGGCTGAGAGAAGAGAGGAAAGACCAGGACATAAGGGAAACACAAAAGGGAAAAAAAAGTGATGTAAGACGTAGGGAAAAAGTGAAATATAGAGAATTCCGAGAAGGGCAGAGAAAAAAGGGGGGGGGAGAAGAAAGCAGACAAAAGGAAACGGAATTAATGAGAGAGCGTGAGAGGGAAGGAGGTTCGTGGAGAGGGAGGGAAGGAGGGAAGGAGGGAGGTAGGGAGGGAGGGCGAGAGGGATGTAACTGCGAGCAAATGATGCGTTTTTAACAAGCGGAAATGAGAGTATCATGTTAATTTGGATACTCGACTCACTGTAATTGCCCGTAAGCAATCCTTCACTGTCAAAAAATCCAACGATCCCCATCAATCATGCATCGTATTTGCATATAATACCAGAAGTACGCCAGATATAATGTTAGAGCAAGAATGGGGGTTTTAAGCAGAGACAATGTAATGTCGATTGAAGCCAAATGTTTAGATCAGAATAGCACAACAAACGTGAAAGGGAGAAAGGGAAAAACAATAAGATAATGAGAGGTTTGATGAAAGCGAAAGGATAATGTGATATGGATATAAAGGAAGGGGGGGAAAGAACGCAATTCAAAGAAGATAAATATACAGAGAGAATGGCAGAGAAGAGAAAAATAAGAGGTAGAGAGAAAAAACAGAAAGAATAACAGAAAATATATTAAGATTAGAGGCAAATAAAAATAAAAGTAAGAGACATGGGGAGAAATCAAAGAGAGAAAGAACGGGTGACAGGGATATTTAGCGATAGATAGATAGATAGAGAGATACAAAGACAGAGACAAAAAGAGAATGAGAGAGATGGAGAGGCTAAATATAAAAATGAAAATAACATAAAGAAAAAAAAGATGAAAACAAGACATATACACAAACAAAAATAAACAAAATAATTTTAAAAATGAGCAAGATGAACCCGATCTCACTTTGACCTCTGACCTGATCTTAGCATTGTCTCCGGCGTCGCTGTCGGTGGCGGTGACGGCGATGACCTGCGTGTCGGGATCCACGGTCTCGCTGACGGAGGCCTCATACTCGTCCTTCGGGAACATCGGGGCGTGGTCGTTCTCATCCTGCACGAGCACCGAGATCGTTCCTGTTCCCGTGAGGCGCGGGGTTCCTGTGGGGGGGAGGGAGAGGGAGCGAGAGGTTAGCTGTCGTGTCGAGGAAACTTTCATGTCTTTTTAATTTTCTCTACGTTGTTATTAACATTTATGTATGATTATTGGTTATAATTGTATGAGGGTCAGTGAGGAAATACGATTCATTAAGAAAATAATTGTTCTGGATGGAAGAAAGAAGTATATTTCTAAGAATGCCCAAGCTTATTTCGTGTCACATGCTAATTCGTGCCTGCATTAAAAAGATCTTTCATAAATCAAATACATGAAAGATTGTCAAGCTAATGTCAACACTACAGCCACTTAATCGAGTGCTGTTATTCCCCAAGAGAACACTGCAACGTTGAAAAGTGAAGTCGAGTCGAATTCTGGCAATGAGAAGTTGCGAGCCAAACTTGAGCGCAATTGACGACGATTGCAAGTCAGGTCTTTAAGGCAGGGGTCAGCGGAGGTCAGGGTGTCAACGCAGCAGCAGGCGGTGGTCGTGTTATAGATAAGAGGTAATAAATATGAACGGAAGGCATTGGGTCGAGGTTGCAGCAGCCGGTCGTGAGTTTTGTGTAGAAAGTTGTAGTTTATAGGACACGCCTTCTTTCATGTAGCGACGGCTGACCAGAAGACACTCTCGGCGGGAAAGACTGATCTCCAGTGAAAGTCGGATGATTAAACACTTCCTGAAAATGGCGCAACGAAAGGAAAACGACCAAAAGAAGGCGATAATTCCGGCCGCTAAATGACTCTTGTATTTGACCCAAATGTTGAGATTGTCGTCGCGGAAAAAAAGGGAAAAAAAGTAATGGAATTTCATCTATCCAGTTAACCAACCGCCCTGTTGACTCGCTCTCCACGCTCCCCGTGTTTACCCAATGCCGCTGGTTAACAAATCAACTTTCACGAGCAAATTACATGAAGCTGTTCTCTTTGTGTGCATAACATGTTGGGAGGGAAATTAACGTACATGTACAGAATCACTGTCAGATCAAATGTCAAGTAAAAGTTGCGGCTTTCATGCATTTGCATGATGAGGAATTGAAGAAGTTTAAGGAGAAGAAGGACTTACATGAATGAATAGGTGTATGACATGAGGGGAAAATTTTCCTCAATCGAGAGTAAAAGCATTCATTTAATTAATTAATGTTTTTCCCCTCCGATAATACGATGTAAAAGAGAAAGGAGGGTGGAACTCTTTCGCTTACACGCGCACCCACGCACAAACACAATTACAGTGGTTAGAACACATGAGCACCCACCCACCCACAGACACTTCCTTCCCTACACACGCGCGCCCACAGACCCCCTCTCATTACCCACCCACACGCCCACACCGTCGTCCCTTTCCTCCCCTCACCCCACCCGCCCGCCCTCACATACCCTCCCTCCTCCCTCCTGCCCAGCAACTCGCTCACCCACACCCCGACCCGCCCACACGCCCACACTGACCAGCCCGCTTCTGCAGCATCAGCTTCGAGCGGGCGGAGGGCGAGTGCGTTCATCCCGCCACCGGAAGCCGCAGAGGAGGGAAGAAAACCGCGAAATTTGCAAGAGTGGAGAAAGTGTAGCGTGCGACTGTCGTGCGGCCATTTATTGCAGCGGCAGCCGAGTGTGCGATTCACTCTCGATGTTGCTCTCGCCCCTGTTGCATTTTGCTGTGGTTGACGTGGTTGTTGTTGCATTTTGCTGTGGTTGACGTGGTTGTTGTTGCATTTTGCTGCGGTTGTTGTTGCATTCTGATGTGGTTATGGTTGTTGCTGTCCTTGTTACAGATTGCCATTACTGTAGTTTGTTGTGGTTGTTGTTCTACTTTGCCGCTTTTTACTAATGCTCTTATTTGTTGTAGTTGTCATTGTTATTGGTAACGCATGTTCTTGATTTAGGAAAAGTCTAACGTGAAAGTTTGCACTAATCCTCCTCAGAACACTTAACATCATTAGCCATAAAAAAAGGATCGGTGAAACTCAACAGCGAACACGTGCAAAACAGAAAAAAAATAAAAAAATCAAAATAACATTGATGATAACAGCACTCTCTCCCAACAATAAAAAAACCCTCGATAATAACAATAATGCTAATGGTAATAATGCCATAACAAGACCCTTTGCACGAGCTACCGTTTCGCTACCATCGTCTATCGGAGAAAAAAGACACACAAAAAGGAAAGAAAGAAAAAGAAGAAAAAAAAAGAAAAAGCGACGGCATTACACCTGGGAGATCATCAACCCCGTTATTAGGAAGAAAAAAAAAACACACGCACTGGATCCCTATACAAGCTTAGGGCGGGAGTGGAGAGAGGGGGGAGAGGGGGGAGAGGGGAGAGGAGAGAGGGGAAAAGAGGAAAGGAGGAGAGGAGAGGAAGATAGGGGAGGGGAGGGGAGAAAAGAGAGGAGGGGATGGGAGAGGAGAATAGAGGTGGGTAAGAGAGGGAGAGAAGGAAAAGAGAAGAGAGGATATTAAAGGAGAACAGGGCAGGAGAAGGGAGGAATAGAGAAAGAATGGGTAACGTTAGTTGGATAGATAGATTGGTAGACAGATATGTAGATGGGTAGGAAGAGAGAGGTGGATAGATTCGTTCCTACAGAGCATTGAAATCTCCGAGGTGCACTCCGAATAACATGAGAGAGAGAGAGAGAGAGAGAGAGAGAGAGAGAGAGAGAGAGAGAGAGAGAGAGAGAGAGAGAGAGAGAGAGAGAGAGAGAGAGAGAGAGAGACCGAGAGAGAGACCGAGAGAGAGACCGAGAGAGAGAGAGAGAGAGAGAGAGAGAGAGAGAGAGAGAGAGAGAGAGAGAGAGAGAGAGAGAGAGAGAGAGAGAGAGAGAGAGAGAGGAAGAGGAAGAAGTACAAAAGAAAAAAAAAATCAAAAGAACGACAATGAACATGAAAAAAAATACGAGAAACAAAAACAATAAAAAACAACATCAATCCAACGACTCAAGAAAACAGAACAAAAAGACGAAGAAGAGAAACAAACAAAGAAAGAAAGAAAGAAAGAAAAAAACACGGAAAATTGCTTACCATCCCCTTTCATCATCTACAACTGAAACCCTTAATACAATATTCCATAGGATGACACAGACCCCTATATCACGGGCCAAGAGCCACTGATGGTTGCGTAACAGGTGGAGAAGCGGGGAAGAGGTAAAGAGGAAGGAGAATTGGGGAAATGAAGGATAGGAGTGAAAGATGGAAATGAAGGATAGGAGTGAAAGATGGAAATGAAGGAGAAGAGTGAAAGATGGAAATGAAGGAGAGGAGGGAAAGAAGGAAATGAAGAATGGGAGATAGAAGTAGAAGCGGAGAAGAGGTAAAGAGGGAGGAGAATTGGGGAAATGAAGGATAGGAGTGAAAGATGGAAATGAAGGAGAGGAGTGAAAGATGGAAATGAAGAATGGGAGATAGAAGTGAAAGATAGAAGAATGAAGAATGGGAGAGACATATGGAAGAGAGATTGGAGCGAAAGAGAGAGACGAAGGATGGAAATGAAGTATGGAAGAGAAATGGAAGCGATAGAAGGAGAGGAAGGATGGAAATTAATTATGGAAGAGAGATGGAAGCCAAAGATGGACGTAAAGGAAAGGAAACGAAACGAAACGAAGGAGTGGAAGGATGAATGATAGAAGGGAGATGGAAGGGAGAGATAGAAATGAAAGAATGGGAAGATAAATGATGGAAATGAAGGATAGAAGAGAATGGAAGAATGGACAGGTGAATAATGAAATGAAAGACTGGCGGGGAAGGATATGAGATAAAAAGATGGACGGGAGAGATGGAAGAAAAATGGGAAGGAGAGATGGAAGACAGACACAAAGGAGAGATGGAAGAAAGATGGAAATGAGAGATGGAAGAAAGATGTAAATAAGACGTAAGATGATAAAAAGAATCTATCAAGCAACTGAGCGAATTCAAACTTCACGTTTACTGCTTTAGTTATTATTAGTTATTAGCTACTCTAAACATGGTGAAGAATAAAGGTGTATCTGTATGAGACGGAATAACTAGAGAAAAGAGAGAGGAAATACACAGAAATGAAAAATGAAAGACGATTTACTTTTTTAAAAACTAAACAGGAAAGATAAATCAATGGAAGGATGAAAGGGATTTACAGAAAACGGAAGAAGAAAAAAAAACAGAATAAGGGATACTTCGGCATTTCCCTCGAAGCGAATCTTCTTTGTTGACGCGCCACTCCTCCATCATCACAGCCCGATGCTCATGAAAGCTTCGAAAAGATCACATATTTCTCCCTTCCCCCCTCCCCCTCTTCCTCCCTCTCTCATTTCTTTTTTTTTCTTGGTCTGTGGTCCATTCACAAAAAAGGAAAGAGAGAAAAAATATGAAAAAAAGAAGGGAAGAGAGAGAGAGAAAAAAAGCAACGTCTGTCATCAAATCATTTCCCAGTTACAAAAGACGAATTGGTTATTTGATTAATCGGTGGCATCAAAGGCTTTTTATGTCTTGTTTCGTTTCCCTTCGTTATCGTGTCAGCTCTTTGCAGCCGTCCGCTTTTTGGCGGATTCTTACGGCGGCCGATTTGCACAGCTGCGCGGGCAATTTTTTTTTTTGGGGGGGGAGGGGCATTCTGGGTTCTCTTTTTCTTTCTTTCGTTTTCTTTCATTTTTTTCCTTTTCCTTTTCTTTTTCGTTGGTTCTCTTACTTTCTTGCTTTTGCTCTTGCTCTTTTTTGTGCTCTTTCTCTGAAGCATTGTTTCTCATTTTCGTTAATTATGTTTATTTTCATTCTTCCTCCCTTCTTTCCTTACTCTCTTCTTTGTTTCCCTCTTCCTCTCCCTCTCATTCCCTTTTTTCCTCCCTCCCTCCCTCCCTCCTCCCCCCTCCCCCCTCCCTCCTTCCTTCCCTCCCTCCCCCCCCCTCTTTGCATACACACACTTTCGCAACCGATTCCACAATTTTGCAAAACGCTTCGACTAAGCTCCTGCAACCTGCAATGGCAACGTAGAAAGGCGGCAGATCACAAGCAACATGCACAGACTCTCTCACGCGCCCTA